TATATACATTTAAACAGGCTGCAATTCTTGAGTGCTAATTAGTTTATTAATAACTGGAAAAACTCGTACATTGCACAAAAAAATCCCTACTTAATCTGAAAATCAAGCAAAACTGACGAATATTTCATTTCTCAAGCATAGTAATTTTGTTTGTTTGTTTGTTTCATTTAACGCCTTTTTCTAACAGTATTTCAGTCATATAGGCGGGTAGTTTCCTAACCATCGTTCCTCCAGAGTTACACCAGTACTAGACTACTTTCCTCGCTCTAAACTACCAAAGCATCTCCCGGGGATTGAACCCACGCCAGAGAGGTAACTGGATTAGACGTCATTGACTCTAACCCCTCGACCACGGAGGCGGTAATTGTATATCTGAACAGAGCAAGATTACAAACGTGTTAAAATATATCTATACATGCTTAAGATATATCTAAACATGTTTAAATTCATCGAAACATGTTTAGATATATGTATACATCTTTGTAAATAATCTATACATGTTTAAATATATACGTAGATGATTGAAATATATACTAGGGATAATAAAACCGTCTACTGTTAGTAATTAACCGTCGTTAAGACGTAACTAGTGCTAGTCCGATTATTATTTATGTGAATATGGCGTGGATGTTCTCGTAATAAGTAACTAGTTATGTAAATGTATCAACTTCATTCACTACTCTGATTTTTATTTAGTAAAACAGTCGTGTGGAGTTATTTATTACAAACATGTTAAAGGTCCAAGCAGATATAAACGTCGTACATACACAATTTTCAAATCTCATTATGAAACAGAACATGATGTTAGAATGTTTAGAATAGACCTTAACAGGTGTCTTGGCAAATTCAAAAGAGGATCAGGTATTGAACTAGGAAGATATGATAGATAATAAGTAGAATAGACTCATTGTTTCATTGTTGGAATATAGTTGAATGTGAAGCACATGTTTTCTTACATTGTCCTCTTTATGATTCAATTAGATTAGATTTACTGTAATAAGCAAATATACTTTACAATGGTTTTGATAATTTTCCTGATATTGACAAGGTGGGACGCATATTATCTGATATACCTATAGCATTTATAAGTTCCTAAACCTGTTTTCATATCATAATAAAAAAGTTTTATATCATTAGTAACAATTAACACGCTGTCTCATATATATCAATTGTAGAAATTCATTTCTGAACATTATTGTGTTATTGTTTATTGCATTACCTTGGTAAATTGTTTTAATGATATAACAAAAGTGTTTGTACTTTCCAAAAGTTTACTCTGTCTCGAAATGTGATTTTGATCTGATCAAAAACATATTATCATTTAACACCTATTTTGAGAATGTTGAGCACTTTGACGTATTATTTATTTTCATTATTTATTTATCATTTTGAAGTCGTTTCAATCCATCCTTTAACATGGATACTTTAATATTTAACTTGTATCATATGTATATAAAAGAGAAATATATGTATATTGATGTTACTGTTAAATAATAGAGAAGTGCATGTTAAAGTATTGTGATGTTTCTGTTTCTAGGTTGGTAATGTACTTACTATATTACAAGATGTGTTTTATTTATGTTATTATATACTGTGTTATATAAATGTGCATAAATGAATATTTATACATAAAACAATTCACTAATCAATAAAATATAATACATTTGAAGTAGGATTCATTTTGTTTCTTGTTGGAATATGGTATATAGATTTTATTAAATAAAAGATTCATTTTAAACAGTATTTTGATACAATGCATTACTAACACATGTAAATTACTCATAATAGATCAGGATAATTTAAGTTCAATGCTGATAAAGACCTTTGTGGTTAAGTCCCGCGCATCGAAACTCCGAAATATTGTTAGATAGCAGATGACCACCGCGGAGACCCGTATTGTTTCTTATATAATATGGCATCATATAAATGTGACCAAAATGGCATGAACTCTAAATTTATATCATGCAAATTTGATTAGAAAATAGTTTAACAGAACTTAAATCACGTTATATTATGAATTCAAATGTTTTACATTGTGTTTTTGTGCTCCTTGAAAAATTCATGTGTAGCTGCCTATGTTGTATGTGCTTTAAACATATATTGTATGTTTAACGCCATAAAATTATTTGAGTTTGAGAAAATTCTTTGTAAATTACCGCACTCCCTCAAACGTGGACTAACACAGGTTTATGTATTATGTGGGTTTGGTCATTTTATCAATAAATAACGAGTTTGTCCTTCATTACAAATTTCGAAAAGTAATGCTGAGTAAATATACCAAACCCATTTACCATATGCCGATTCTAGCCAGGTTACTGCGCAGGAATACTGTAGAATTACGACTTAATCGTGACAGTAAGATTTTATTTAACTGTTTATAATTGTGAGATCTGAGTATGTATTTAAGTTGATTACGGATAGAAATGATGATAATGTGAATGAATGTTCCTTTATTTTCAATTATTAAAACGTGTCCTATAAAAGTCAATATGAACAGTGTTCAGCTGTCATTATTAACATGCTGGTTGCTTCAAAGAACCCATTTAGCATTTTGTTTTAATATATTATACCTATAATAATTCGGAATAACCGACAACCCTTAGACGTACATTTTGCATTGTTTTATATCTTAATACAAAGACAAACGCATGTAAATCTACATGTAAATCAATGTGAACATGTACGGCAGAATGAATATCTTCCCTACGCGTTTTGATTTTCCTATTCCATGTTTTAAAATATATAAATTAGAAATCACATAATAATATAAGGTATTTCACAGCGTCTGCCAATATGTCAAAACGGACATGAATGAACCAAATGCAATTAACATTTTAAATAATTCTGATAAGTGATAGAACAGATAAGTACATAAATCAGAACATATACAACACAGATATATACACAGATATATATTTGAAAATTGAAAATAACAAACATATGTTGAATTTATGTACTTTAACTATACCTCTACCGGTTTCACAATATCATCAAGAGGATAATGAAAATATTGATATGGAAACGACTATAACATTGGTTGTTCAGAATATACATGTATATTTAAGAGTTTTATCTTACGTAATATCCGACAGAAATGAAATAATGTCAGATAAAAAATAACACAAACATATCATGTGAGGCTATTGCATTTGAAATCGGTAATTGACGAGCAAAACATCAAAAATTTCTTTTATATATGTTGCATAAATCCAAGACCAAAATTTGGAATGTCATTAAAGAACATTGAATACTTGTTTATCGAACCTTGATAAAGTGTACATACTGCCTAAATTCCTCGGCATGTATGGACTAGATACAATAAATAAACTTAAATATTAACGGTTCTTTTGTTTGATTGATTTTAGGTCAAACCGAGACTTTGTAAAGGTCATATGACGACTTGTAAGCTTTAGAAGTGTAGGAAGGCCTCAGGTGTCCTCGTGCATTATAATAACTGAGAATATATTTAAACAAAATCAAATGAAGTTTACTAGGCAACCTATCATGAAACAAATTAAGACATTTTGATTTATGATACAGGATAACAATACATCTTGGTTATTTTATTATGTTTCATAGTATTTTAATAACAAGGAAGGAAATTTGAAGATTATTTATAATTGTCATTAAAATTCGTACCATTTACTATAAATGAACGTTGAATAATGACATAGAAGATACTGTTCGCTCGTTCATAATTTTCTAATTCACTGCTCCTAGGAAATTTATGACGTCTTGCGAAACAAGGAAGATAAGCTGAAGTGAAATAGAAAATTATTAGTAGCTACAAGTTAAGGTTGATATTGAAACATTATGTATTCATTACTCATTGCCAATGATATTATTACAAATTAATTAAATTGTTATATTTCACTCAAATAAAAGAAAAGAGTAAAATATTTTTATCAACATTAATCTATTATTTCTGAAACAATATTAACAGTTTAATGATTACATTTTAATTTTGTATCTATTTACTGTTAATATACTGATTAAGTTTTCCAACATTTCTCTAGAAAAAAGTCATTTCGTTTTACTAAGTTAACGTACTTACGCTGTCGCGAATAACGCGAGTCATTGTGATATGAGCGGTGCTATCTAGATTGTTCACTTAAAATTTATGGAACGGTACCGAGGACGGTACTTCTAGAACGTGTTATCATTATAGTCACATGACAAGTATTTCCCGCTCCTTTTCAGACAGTATATAAGCGATCGCACATTGTTGAACAGGGAGAACGAAAAGAAAAGTGCTAGAGTAAACTGTTAAAGAAAAATTAAATCTATTTTATAAAAAGTGACAATAAAAGGAATTACATTTTACAAAGTATTTTATTGGTTAATATGCATAAAGGATATGATAAATAAAATTATTAAAACTGTATACGTTGTTGTTCAATTTGTAGTATGAGATGACTTAAAAGTTAATACAGTCCTCAAAAACAAAATCTGTCTCTACTACAAAATGTTCCCGCGAACCGGATATACGGATCTACGGATATACGGATATACAGTTAAACGAAAAATTATGGATCTTAAAAACTTGGAAATTTAAAAAGAAACATTTTACAAAGCTAAGGAGTAGATAAATAAGAAAAGGATTTAAAAACTGGTTAAAGTTAAAGTGTATAAAACTCTTCTTGAATCTAATGTAGACAAGTTAAAGAATTGTAAAAGTCGAGAAAAGAAGTTAAACGAAACAGTCTAAAAGTGAAAAGGAAACAAAGTTTAAAGGTAAATTGAGTTCTTATATATCAACAGAAAGACTGTTGAAAGTTGGCTTTATTGAAAAGTTAGAAAAGAAAGACAAAAAATCATGTTTTAAAAAAGCATTTGCCTTTATAAAAATGTCTGGAATTATAGAGTAAAAAGATGTGAAATATTCGATTTAAAGTCAAAAGTGTGTACAAAGTTAGTACAAGAAAAAAGTAGATTAAAAGGTGTTTTAAGTATAAAAAGTGTAGTGAAACAAATATAATTAAATTTCTCTACATCAGAAAATGGCGAGTATACAATATATTAAAGGTGTAAGGACCAGGTTCCGAAATATTTTAGACCTAGAAATACAAAAGGGTGATGGTCTGTTGAACACAGAAATCGATGAGGAATTTGATTTAGACAGAATGCTTAACGAAGTGTCGAAATGTTTTGAGAAGGTAAAAGAATATAAAGAAAAGGTTGAGAGACAAAGTGAAAAATTAGTGGAATCGATTGACAAAAAAGAAAGCGAGATGATTGAGGAAATTATTGACGAAGATCTCACCTTGTGTGAAAAAGCCTTCGACATGTGTCAAAATTTACAAGTGTTCACTAAAACGTTGATGCAAAGTAAAGAAAAATTAGAATTTAAAGTTGATCAAAAGGATTACACCCATGATTTAGTGGAGGTTCAAAAGAACATTCAACAGTTACTTGAAGCTCAAATGAGACAACAAGAAAAAGAAAAACGAAAAGAAAACGAGAAAATGTCATCAATTAAACTTCCAAAGATAGATATGATCAGTTTTAATGGTGACAAAACAAGATGGACAGAATTTTGGGACAGCTTCAAAAATGCTGTACATAACAACAAATACATATCAAATGTTGAAAAGTTTAACTATCTGAAGGGAAAACTAGTTGGCGAAGCAAAATCTGCGATAACAGGGTTGGCATTAACTAGTGACAATTACATAATGGCGGTGGATATCTTGAGAAAGAGATTCGGTAATACACAGGAAATTATTGACTTGCATTACAGTCAGCTTATTAACATTCCAATCGCTACAAGTAAAGTCAATAGTTTACGATGTTTGCTTGATGGTGTTGATCAACATATAAGGAGTTTGGAAGTTTTAGAAGAAAATGTAAACCCAGGACATAGTAGTATCTATAGTCAAATCAAAGTTGCCTGAAGATGTGCTAGTACATTTGGAAATACAAAATGGAACTGACAAAAGATGGACGGTACGTACGTTAATGGAAAAATTGTATGCTTACATTGTAGCACGTGAAAGAGCCCTAAACAGGAGCTTCTAAACAAAGAGACAATACATCTTCAAAAACATTCAACGCAAGGTCTTTCACACATACAAAAGCAGAAAGTACATATTACAAAGGACCGGTACAGAAAAACATCAACGCAGGCGCTAGTTTCTACTTCTAGACAACAACGGAAGCCAGTCAGCACCGTCGTGCATCCAATTAAACGGTGCCGATATTGTAATCAAAATCACTGGAGCGATGAGTGTACTACATACAAGACAATAAGTGAAAGAAAAGATCGCATAAAAGGCAGTTGTTTCAGGTGCCTAAAGGAAGGACATTTATCTTTAGATTGTAAATCAAACAAGAAGTGTGTGTACTGTGACAAAATGAACGCCCACCATCGCAGCTTGTGTCCAAAGAAGTTCACCGTCCAACGGACAATTTCAAATATGTCAACAGATGTTATATCTGATAAAGCAGCAGAATCAGATACAATGACAAACTCATTTCATGTAAGAAATGATAATGGACTAATGTCAATGAACGAAATGGTTCTTATGCAAACTGCAAACTAACAAAAATAAAAAAACCCAAGTGAAAGAACTGATACAGAAGTACGAGTATTACTTGATTCTGGGTCGCATCGAAGCTATATTTCAGAAAAATTAACTCAAAGGTTATGCCTAAAAGGGGAAGGTGAACAAGAAATCCATGTCGTGACTTTCGGGAATACAAAAGCAAAAACAATTAAAACAAAATACGTAAAGGTTGATGTGAGGCTAAATAATGGTAAATATGTGCAAATCACTGCCAATATAGTTCCTTTAATTAGTGGTGAATTACAGAGGAAACCAACATCAGATCTGTTTTCAGATAGAGTGAATGATATTCTATCAACTGTAAAATTGGCGGACACCATGCCAAAAGAAAGTGAATCTTCGTCAATTGAGTTCTTGATTGGAAACGACTACTACCTGGACTTTCTAAATGGTGAAAAATTAGAACTTCAAAATGGACTTTTATTTGCTTTCGTCTAAGTTTGGATGGATACTAAGTGGTAGAATTAAAGGACACAATACGATGATTCAAATGACAATAATTGCTTATTCTAACATATGGCAGTAAACAGAACAGTACAAATGCATTTCACTACTATACGATAATGTACTATCACCTAAAGACAGAACTAGAAGACTTTGGAACGTTGAAAAGTATTGGAATTGTAGATAAAGAGTCACAAAAAGAAGACGATCTAGTCAGGGAAGACTTTACTAGAACGCTTAAGTATTGAAAACGGCAGATACCAAGTAAAGTGGCCGTGGAAAAAATGAATGTCCCGATTTACCGATCAAATAGAGATTTAGCATTAGGTAGATTAAAATCAACAGTAAATCGTATGAAACAATCCAGACATACTAACTAAAGTATCCATATATGTGATTCAAGATCAACTCCAGGAAAGGTATAATAGAAGAAGTCAAACCAAATAAATCAAACGGTACTGTGCATTACCTAGCTCACCATGGAGTCATTACACCACAAAAAACAACAACCAAACTTCGGGTAGTATACGATGCATCGGCAAAGACTTCAAAAGAAAATAACTGTCTGAACGACTGCTTGTATCGCGGTCCTGTTATGGTTCATGACTTATGTGGAATATTGTTGAGATTTCGAAAACATCCGATCGCAATTGTAGCCGACATCGAGAGGGCGTTCCTTCAAATAGAACTTCAAAGAGATCAACGTGATGTTACAAGGTTCTTATGGTTAAAAGATATTGACAATCCAATGACTAACGCATGTAACATACAAGAGTTTCGCTTTTGTCGGGTACCGTTTGGAGTTGTGTCAAGTCCTTTTCTTCTTGGTGCCACAATTGAACATCATCTTGACACTTTTCATAATGAAATATCAAACAAATAAAAAACGATATCTACGTGGATAATATGATAAACAGGTGCAAAAGACATAACAGAAGCGAAGATTCTTTATAAAGATGCAAAAACTATATTCAATGCTGGATCTATGAATCTAAGAGAATGGGCTTTAAATAATGAAGAGGTCAATTCACTCTTTTCTCCTGAAGACCGTGCAGAAGTGAAATCAATGAAAGTGCTAGGGCTTGAATGGAACTTGGAAAGTGATACTCTTTCATATCGTTCTGCAAAAATGCTATGCCATAGTCTTCATGCTACCAAAAGGGAAATTCTAAAATACATTGCATCCATTTTCGATCCACTAGGCTTGATTAGTCCTGTTATCCTTGATGCTAAATATTTTCTACAAGAACTGTGGAATAAACACCTAGAGTGGAATGATGCCCTCAGTGATGATGATCAAAAGAAATGGATCTCATTAGAGAAACAACTGATGAATGTGGAACATGTCTGTATACCAAGATCTATATCTGCAAACTGTTCAAAACTAGTTGAATATCGCATTGTATGTTTCTGCGATGCATCACAAAAAGCGTACGCTGTTGCAGTATACTTACATCAACGGTCAGAAGATACAACAAAAGTAGATCTCATCTTTTCAAAAACACGTTTAGCACCTTTGAAAAAGCTTTCAATTACAAGACAAGAACTCTTAGCTCTTGTTATAGGTTTACGATGTTTACAGTTTGTTAAGAGTCATCTTCATTTACCAATACTTGATTCATCCATATGGACTGATTCGCAATGTGTCCTACATTGGTTACATACAAAAAAGCAATTATCAGTATTCGTTAAAAACCGTGTTAATGAAATAAAGAAGATTTCAGAAAATGTTACAATATCCTATGTTCCATCTAAAGACAATCCAGCAGATATTGCATCTCGTGGCACACTTTGCCAAAATCTTATGAATAACAAACTTTGGTGGGAAGGCCCAGCTTGGCTTAAAAATGAGCCAGGTGAATGGCCCCAATTTAAAGTTCCGCATAATAGCAAAGAAGATAACAGTTATGAATCTGAGATACGTAAATTAAAGAAACCTAGTGAGATTAGTTTGGTACAACCATCGCGTGGCACAAATACAATTGAAAACACTAGTTCAGATGAAAATACTGGTCCATTAACAATAAACAGCCAACGGTTCTCTTCACTTACAAAACTTCTTAGAGTTACTGCTCTTGTGCTAAGATTTGTGAGAAAACTACAAAAGAAAAATACAACAAGGTATATCACATGTGACGAAATTAAAGAGTCTGAAAACATGTGGATAAGACACATTCAAAGATTATATTACAAAGACGTATTTGACGCCATTTCTTGTGGTAAGCAAAACAATATTCAACAACAGCTTGGAATTTACATTGATACATACGGAATCCTACGCTGTAAGGGGCGACTTGAAAATGCTGACATAAGTGAAAGTGCACGTTGTCCGATACTTCTTCCAAAATATGACTGGTATACACGTCTTATTGTAGCTAAAACACATACAGAAATTCTTCATAGTGGTGTTTCACAAACGTTGTCTGTAGTGCGAAATCGCTTTTGGATTCCGCATGGTCGTGCTATTGTTAAATCAGTGTTAAAATCATGTATGATCTGTCGCCGATTTGAAGGTGGCCCGTACAAGATGCCACCGTTTTGCTCATATCCAAAATCCCGTGTAACCGAAGGTATTCCATTTTCTAGAATTGGAATAGATTACATGGGTCCTTTATATTCAAAAACAAATAAAGACAGTGAAAAGAAAGTTTGGATTTGCCTGTTCACATGCCTTATGACGAGAGCAATTCACCTAGAAATTGTATGTGACATGACAACAGCTGAATTTCTCATGTGTTTCAGAAGATTTGTAGCACAAAGAGGTTCTCCTACCCTTATTATCAGTGACAATGCCTTACAATTTCGTACGGCAGATAAAATTCTTGATCATCTTTGGAATAAAATTCCTAAAAATGCTGAAATAATGAGTAATGTTTCAAATGCTGGTATAAAATGGATGTTTAACGTAGAGTTGTCTCCCTGGATGAGAGGCTTTTACGAAAGGCTAGTTGCTTTAGTAAAAAGGTCATTAAAGAAAGCCATTGGTAGAAAAATGTTATCAATAGTGCAGTCACAAACTCTTATTAAAGAGATAGAAGCAGTTATAAATTCAAGACCTTTAGTTTATGTTGGGGATGACCTGCATTCTAATATCCCTATCACTCCTGCTCATTTTCTGTCAAATAATCCGAAAATTGGGATTCCTGAATTAGAAATCGACAGTGATGACGATTATATTCCAATTGAAAGCACAAAAGATAATTTACTTAAACTATGGAAAAAAGGTCAAAGGTTATTGGATATATTTTGGAAAACTTGGAAAGACGAATATTTACTAAGTCTCCGGGAAAGATACCAAAACACGTTTAAAAATCACCCGGGTCAAATGCAGTTTAAACCTAAAATTGGAGATATAGTGTTAGTAAAAGATGATACTTCAAGAGGAAATTGGAAGTTTGGAAAAATTACACAATTGATTAAAAGTAGAGATGATGAATGTCGTTCAGCTAAAGTTTTAATTTCATCTGGAAATGAACTAGGACGGCCGTTAAATTTGCTTTACCCATTAGAAGTTTCGGGAGAAGAACAACAATCAGAGTTAAAAGATGAAACTTCTGAACGTTGTAAAAATACAATTGTTTCTCGTTGTCAAAGACAAGCAGCGATAAAAGCAAAATGTAAAATCAAACAGTTGTTGAGTGATAACAATAAATGAAAATACATAGCACTAAATAAATAGCTAAAAATGAAAAGTTGGCTAAAAGAAATTCAAAAGTATCAATATTAAATTAAATAAAATCAAAAACTCTTATTAAATTCGTTCAATAAATAACATTTAAGTATATAAACATGTTTTCATGTAGTGCGCTTCAATGACCCTTTTCAAAAGAGGTCATACGCATATTTATTGGATTAGGCTTTAGTTGCTATAAAAATATCATGCGACGATGACATTGTTTGTAAAACTTGATAATTGACTGCTGATCATCCATGCGCGAATTCTGTGCTACGGTACCAAACATTGATTGGGGATTTAATAATTGCCAATGCAAATTCACGAAAATCACGTGCAACGGTGTCCAAACATTATAAAACTCTTTACATTCCATATTTACTTCATTAGATTTTGGATGCTTACTGCGAAATAATCAAATCAAGATGTATTATTGTAAATTTAAATTCTGTCGACGCTTTTATAGCAATTATAAATCATTACAAAGACATGTCCAAGAAATTCATTCTCCGGAAAACAAATTTTACACATGCATTATAACTGGGTGCAAAGTCAAACTAAAAAGGAGACACTACCTAATAAAACATTTAGAAAAGGTTCATCTAATGACAAAAACTGATGCAAAGAAATTAACATACAAAATCAACACAGAAATCACAGAAAATAACATCACAACTGAAACAAAACAAGTAAGATCTCCCTATCTTCCAATGACAGAAAACATATCAGATGTTGAAGAAAATACAACCACTGCCGAAATATTTGCAAATGCAATGAAAGTAATCAACACAAATGAAGATATGGATTTCAACAATAATGAAATTTTTTATGCAAGAAAGATAAGTGCTGAAGAATTAGAGTTAGATATTCAGGAAAAATATCATTATGACGATTGTGATTACACATTCCTTTCGTACAAAGTCAAAGATACCATGAATATATTAGATACTGATAAAGTGCAACCTGATAACAGCATTTCATTGGACAAAGTGTCAAGATTTCAGTTAGTACCGTCTGGATTGCAGGACTACTTTAATATTGCAACCGACAGTCATTCAGATGATGAAGTCACAATTGTACTCTATGAAACTTAAAAACACATCTGGAATTTATATAAACATATGTTCATTAATTTAGTTTATTTCTTTTGCGGCGGGAATGTCGCGAATAACGCGAGTCATTGTGATATGAGCGGTGCTTTCTAGATTGTTCACTTAAAATTTATGGAACGGTACCGAGGACGGTACTTCTAGAACGTGTTATCATTATAGTCACATGACAAGTATTTCCCGCTCCTTTTCAGACAGTATATAAGCGATCGCACATTGTTGAACAGGGAGAACGAAAAGAAAAGTGCTAGAGTAAACTGTTAAAGAAAAATTAAATCTATTTTATAAAAAGTGACAATAAAAGGAATTACATTTTACAAAGTATTTTTCTTGGTTAATATGCATAAAGGATATGATAAATAAAATTATGAAAACTGTATACGTTGTTGTTCAATTTGTAGTATAAGATGACTTAAAAGTTAATACAGTCCTCAAAAACAAAATCTGTCTCTACTACATACGCTTCAGATTTATGTTTTAACTTACGTCCGATTTTTTTTCCGTTAAGGCGTTTTACTAAACATTTGGGTACGTGAGCATTTCGTAAGTATTTACGTAAAGTAACACTTAAAATTTCTTGGCATAAAACTTACGATTGGCATCATATTTATATGAATATAGAGAAGGAAAGCTAATTAAAGATACACGCTTTGTTCATATTTTGACGGTGAAAAGGCTATAGAAAAGAACCTGTCTGAAGCAGCCTTAAAGTTACGACGTAAATCTACGACGTCTTAGCTACGACCATGTTGATAAAACGCGACGTAGACGTAAGATCGGTCGTACGACCAAATCTTAGCTTCGACCGGGCGTACGACCGTTGATAAAACGACACCCTGGATATATATAAGAAACGTACGGATATTGAAGCCATCCTATCATCTCAAAGACGAAAATGTTTTGTACTTCACAACAGCAGGTGTCAAGTGCCGTGTGGCAGCCGTAAAAAGTTGCCCCGTACTTCACTTCAGTGTTGTTATATTTTCTGGTCCTTCGGGATCATTGATGCCAACACTATAAAGTGTTGAGAATTGAGTACCGCTCAAGCCGGTGCTAGGGGGCGTGAGGGATGTTGCACTTATTCATTATCCCTCATGTACAGACTCAATCAAACCGAGTCTGCAGTTCTTATGTTATTTTGTTGTGATTAATGCTTCCGAGGGATCACTTTGTTTCCAGAATTTTTTACTTTCTAATTAAAACAATTGTTGGTAATCTCCATTTAGTCGTGGTTAACCTCGGCCAAATGAATATGTATTAATCGTTATTAAGTGCTTAAATTATTTCAACTTAACGAGCATTGACGCTGAATGTAGATCTATTTAAAATCATAAATTACACACTGAAACTCAGTTATTTACATTTGTTTAATCTCAAGTAAGGGAAGACGGAATGGTAGTATTTTATGATAAAATTGTAATGTCTAGATTATTTTTCACGGATCATTTAGGACTCATTTATCATTTGTAGTTTAATCCAACTAGTAAATACTCGGTTTTCTTTGCAATAAATGATGCTGGATTTTTGTTTGTATTTATATGTAAAATATTTTAATGAAGATAAAATTAACTGTTGCATTTTTACGGCTTTACGACAAATATTCTTATATCATTACTTCTTTGATGGGAACACTGCAATGATGACTATAAACTTGAGTATTTTTTTCTTTACATGTAGTGGTTCTACGCTTTAGGCGTATTTATCGAATGTTTCATCATAACGTAAAAAGAACTGCTGGGCTTTCTTTACTTGATTGACAAAAAAAAAAAGAAATATGCGCGTTACGTGAATAAGCTATATATTTACAATAAAGTGAAAAAAAAAACTCGACATTTCTACTTGCGGGAAACATATCAGTTTTTTTTTACTAATAGTCTATATATATTCATATAAAGCAGCTATGATCATATGGGACTCTCTCAAAACCCCTGTGTGAATGAATGGTACAGCGTGTGAATTGTTTAGGACCATGGGACTACGGAATTCTTATTTAGTTTTCTGGAACGATTTGCGGCCAACGATTTATCTGATAAAAGATAATTTATTTTGAGAAATATTCCCGAAACGCCTCCTGTTGGAGTTTTCTTAAGACATCATTTGAAAAGTTATGAACAAATTAAACGTTAGTGTAAGAAAAGACTTCTGAACCATTGTGAAACGAACGCAACGTAAGCGTAAAATTACATCAATACATACGTTGTAAGAAATCGAGCCCGATTAAATTACGAATCTTGCAGTCTATAGAGATATAAAACGCAGACCTTTGCATCGTATAAGCTTTGTCAATAATTAATGCATGCTACACACTTATACCTTTAAAACAACGCAGAACTTTTATTAAAAATTCCATGAAAACTGTTATTTGAGCTGATTAAGATGAAGTAATAGCAACATAAGAACCAATACGACTGTCTTGATGTAGTTCAAAGGCTTTAAGTATGTAACGACACAATTGAATGCGTGAATGAAGAATTCAGTCGTTTCATATAAATGATAAATCTGTAAAATCAAATAAATATAAATACATGTTTTAACATTTTTCTAAACCCCCTACCCCCTTCGAAAAAAAGGAAATCACCATTCAATGAGAAGTAAAAAAAAACGCTCTACTTTTATATTACGCATTTTGGGCGTTTGTACCTGTTAACAAAATTTGTTTACAGAGAAATCGAAAATACGTAGTACCCCTCCACTAACTCTCTATATATCAAATGAGAATGAAAACAAAAATCCACTTTCATATTACACTTTCTGGGCGTTTGTTTCTGTAAACAAAATTAAGTTTATAAAGATGATTGTAAATACGTAGTGCCCCTCCACTCACTCTCTATATATCATCATCGCAATGAAATAAATCAGCAAATTCATATCTTATTTCGTATCACTTTTTCATGATTACACTATCTGTTTTTATCTCTATCAATTTAAATAACAGCTGCGACACAGCAGCTTAATATAGTATGTAATTTGTTCCTGTGAAGTTCTTGCTTGTTTTAAAGATTATATTTTACTAGTCAAGTGTTAGAAGGTTTTAATAACAACGTTGTTTCGGTTTTGATATACATTTGTAATTCAAGAACAGTAACAATATTTTGTTAAATAACGATGTTATCTTGAAGTAAATCTGTAACTTTTTGAATAAGTATTAGATGCTATATAAAATGAATGAAAAATTAATTAAAAATACGCTACTTCCCGTAGTAATAGATGTTGAGTATGTCACGTGGTTTGGTTCGTTACTTTCGGCTGCACCAGTATGTATAATAGTATCTTCAATATCAAGTCGAGTAATCATATAGTGACCAGAACAGGCAGATATGAGTTGCTGGTGGAAAATCGTATAGGTTGTACAGGTCGATCACAAAGCTCTACTGGAATGAAGAGTGCGAGCAAAGTATCTTAGCCAACATCGACTCATAAATTATAAGTGGTGTTGTGATTCAGAGGGTACTGTTATCAGTGATCATGCTGATGTGGGTATGGTCGTTAAATTTTCGTTTAGTGATGGCCAAACTGTTTAAATTGGCAAAAACTTGCAAGTAGAACACACAAAACACAAAAATAAACAACAAGTCGTAAAATTTTTATTATTTGCTGTATAAAACAATGTCCAGAAGATCTTTTGGCGAAATAAGGTCGAAAATATTTTGTGAGTTTTGGATAACAATAACAACAGACAGAAACAAGAATACGCTAATAACATTCGCAATCGCCATCATTCTCACAAAGAATAGACTGTAAAAAAGAAGATAATAGTGTACATTATGTGCTACGTCCAGTCCTTTTGCACACAGGCCACAAAATGTGCACAGTTTATTGAAACGCTGAATGTTTGGACTGTTATTTAATTTGAAGTCTTTTCTTCCGAAAACG